TTCAGTAAACTTGTTTCCTACATGTGTAATGTAGTTAGGTTGTCACCTCACATATGAAGGCCATCCAGAGATCCCTTGACTTCCTGGATGATTTTTTTTTAAAGTTCGCATATGTTGTTTCTCTCCGTGCTCTCAAGTTCTATGTGTTTTGACAAATGTATCATAGTCGTATCATTACAATATATCTACTACTGTAGTGCCAAACATAAGAGTTTGAGTACCCTAAAAGGCTGAGGCAGGGGGACGGCTAGCTAAAAGCCAGCCACAGCAACAGTAAGGTGTTAAGCAACTCAGTGAGACCCTGTCTATAATAAAAATCCAAAATAGGACTGGGGATGTGGCTCAGTGGTTGAGTGCCCCTGAGTTCAATCCCTGATACCAAAAAAAATTAATTAATTAATCAAAAAATTCACTTCTTAATATATATAAGCATTCAGCCCAACCCAGCACCTCTGGGACCACTGGTAGCTACTAATCTATTATTTCTATAGTTTTGCCTTTTTTAGAATGTTATATAAATGAAACAATACAGTGTCTAGCTTTCTTAAGTGTTGAAATTCATGAAAATATGCATAGCAAAATATATCATCTTAACCATTTTAAATGGAAACTTTGGTGGCATTGAGTATGTTCACATCATCATGCAACCATCATCACTGTCTGTCTCCAGACCTCTTCACCTTGCAAAACTGAAAGTCCATACTCACTAAAGGCTAATTCCTCAGTACCACTTTCTCCCTAGCCCCTAGACTCCACCATTTTACTTTCTGTCTCTATGAATTTGAATATTCTAGGTACCTCATATAAATGGAATCATGCAGTATTTGTTCTTTAGTGATTGGCTTATTTTACTTAAAAAAATGTTTTCAGTTTTCCTCCCTATTACAGAATGTGTCCAAATTTCCTTTATAAAGTTGAATAATATTCCATTGTATGCATGTACTTCAATTTGTTTATTCATTCACCTGCCAAGGGATACTGGGGTTTCTTCCAGCTTCGGCATGTTATAAATAAGAACATGGGTGTGCACATACCTATTTCGTTCCATGATTTCAGATATTTTAGGTATGTATCCAGAATTGGACTTTGCTAGTTCATACAGTAATTTTATCTTCAATTTTTTGAGTAACTGCCATACTGTTTTCCACAGTGGCTGCACTATTTCACATTTCAACTGGCAAAAGAGTTCCACTTAACCTGCCAACACTTTGTTTCTGTTTTTGTTTTTTTTTAATATTAGCTATCTCTTTTTTGGACAGGTTGTTATGATTTGAAGGTGAGGTATCCCCAAAAGCTTATGAATGAGACAATGTAAGAAGGTTTAGAAGAGGAAATGGTTGAGTCATGAGATCTTTAATCCAATCAGTGAATTAATCCCCTGATGGAATTAACTGAGTGGTAACCCGAGGTGGGTAGGGTGTGGCTGGAGGATGTGGGTCCCTGGGGTATGGCTTTGGGTTATATATTTTGTATCTGGCAAGTGGGAGTCACTTTCTGCTTCTCTGATTTCCATGTGAGCTGGTTTCCTCTACCACACTCTTCCACCATGATGTTCACCTTCACCTCCAGCCCTGAGGAACAGAACCAGCTGTCTATGGACTGAGACCTTCGAAACTGTGAGCCCCTAAATAAATTTTTCCTCTTCTACAATTGTTCTGGTCAAGTCTTTTACTCAGAGCAGTGAAAAGGCTGACAGAAATAGGTGTACTCCCAGGGATTGAACCCAGAAGTGCTTACCCACTGAGTCACATTCCCAGCCTTTTTAAAAAAATCTATTTTATTTAGAGATATGGTATCACTAAGTGCTTAGGGCCTCACTAAGTTGCTGAGGCTGACTTTGAACCTGTGATCCTCCTACCTAAGCCTCCCAAGCTGCTGGGATTACAGGCATGATCCACCATGCCCACCCTGCAAATAATAGCTATCTTAATAGATGTGCCGTGGTATCTTATTATGGTTTTGATTTGTATTTCTGTAGTGATTAGTGAGATCAAGCATCTTCTTATATTGCTTATTGACTATTTATACATCTTGAGAGAAATGTCTTTTGAGTTCTTTATTTTAAAATTGTGTTGTTTGGGGGTTTTTTGTTGTTGATTATGGGTTACCCCCTTTCAAGAAATCTGATTAGCAAATATTTTCTCCCATTCTGTGGGTTTCTTTTTTACCCTGTTGATAATGTCCTTGGATATAAAGAAGTTTTTAATTTTCTGTAGTCTAATTTACCTATTTTTCTTTTGTTGCTGTGCTTTGGGATCCAATCCAAGAAATCATTGCCAAATTCCACTTCATGAAGCTTTCCTGTATTTCCTTCCTAAGAATTTTAAAGTTTCAGCTCTTATGATAAGGTCTTTGATTCATTCTGATTTGTTTTTTGTATCAATATTTAGGTTTTTAGATTGGATTATTTTACTTAATAAATACACATTTAAGATTCACTCGTGTCTCTGCATGCCTTGGTAGTTCATTCCTTTTCAAATAGTATTCCATTTTATAGATGCATCTCAGTTTGCTTACCCATTTACCTATTGAAGGACATCTTGGTGGCTTACAGTTTCTAGAGATCATTAATAAAGCTGATGTAAACATGTGTTTTTTTAGTTGTTGGTGTAAATATGTCCTCACATCCCCAGGGTTTATTTCTAAATATCCAAAAGCACAATTCGTGTGTCAAGTGGTAAGATTGTATTTAACTTTGTAAGAAACTACCACACCATCTTCCTGATCATTTGTGACATTTTACATCCCCATCTGTAGAGAATGAGTTTCTTACTGCTCCACATCCACACCAGCAACTAGTATTGTCAGTTTTTAAAATTGTAGTTATTTTAGTAGGTATTTAGTGTTATTCATTTTTAAAGTAACAGGCTTATTTATATAAAATTCACATACCATAAAATTATCTCTGTTTATGTATACAGTTCAGTTGTTTTCATATAATCACAGAGTGGTATAATTATCACCACTATCTACTTTTAAGATATTTTCATCATTCCAAAGAGAAAAGTCCATTAGTAGTCACTTTCTACTTCAATCTTCTTTAGTGCTTGACAATCATTTATCTACTTTTCTCTCTATTGATTCACCTATTCTGGAGATTTCATATGAATGTAATAATATAACATGGGACCTTTTATGTTTGACATCTTTCATTTATCATAATTCTTTAAATGTTCATCCGTGTTACTGCATGTATCAGTATTACTTTATTCTTTTTTGTGGCTGAATAATTTTCCATTATATGGATACACCACAGTTTGTTAACCCATTCATTATGGAAGGACATTTGGGTTGTTCCCACTTTTTGACTATTATACGTAATGCCCTTATAAACAATTGTATATAAGTATTTGTTTGGCCATATACTTTCAGTTCTCTTGAGTATATACCCATGAAAGGCACTGCTGGGTCATAGGGCAATTCTTTGTATACCGTTTTGCAGAACTGCCAAATTGTTCTCCAAGGTGTTTGCACTGCTTGGCATCTCCCTCCCACCCACACCTGACAGGGCCTGAATGTTCCAAGTTTTCCACATCTTTATCAACACTTGGTATTGCTTTCCTTTTTTCCTTTTAGCTGTCCTAGTGTGTTTGAAGTCTCATGTCACTGTGGTTGGATTTGAGTTTTCCTAATAGTTTTGATTATCTTTTCATATGTTTATTGGCTAGTTGTTCATCTTTTTTATTTTATATTTCGGAAGAATGTCTATTTAAATTCTTTGGATTATTTGTCTTTAAAAAAATATATATATATATACACACACATACATATATATTTATTTATTTTTAGTTGTCATTGGATTTCATTTTACTTTTTTATATATGGTGCTGAGAATCAAACCCAGTGCCTTACACTTGCTAGGCAAGCGCTCTACCACTGAGCCACAACCCCAGCCCTGGATTATTTGTCTTCTTATCCTTAAGTTTTAAGAGTTCTTTACATACTTTAGATACAATTCCTTGTCAGGTATTTGACTTAAAAAACATTTCCTCCCATGCCAAATTGCCCTTTAACTTTCTTGATGATGAAGCATGAAATGTGTAATTGTGATGAGACTCTATTTATATATGTCACTTTTGTTGCACTTGCTTTTGGTGTCATATTAAAAGTGTTGTCTAATTGATGATTGTAAAGATTTATTTCTCTTTTCTTCTAAGCATCTTGTATACTTAGTGCCTATGCTCAGATCTATGACCTATTGTTAGTTATATGCATGTATTTTTATAAGGAATAAAAATATCATTGCTTTTATTTGCATTTACCTACTGGTGAACGATGCTGATTATCTTCTAATAAGCTTTTTTGCCTTCTGCACATTTTCCCTGGTATGGTTTCTGTTAGATATTTTGCACATTTTAAAATTGGTTTTTCATTTTCTTATTGTCCAGTTTTAAGGATTCTTTGTATAGTTTGAATACAAATTCTTATGGTTTGCAAATAAATTCAGGAACTAACCCTAATAAGATTAAGACAACCTCCTAATCTGTAGATTGTATATTCATTCTCTTAACAGTGTTTTTAACAAATCAGAAAATTTTATTTAAAAATTAAATTAAACTAATGTCAAAATTATAATCTTTTTTCTTTTGTTGACTATGCTTTTGTTGTACAAATCAAAATCTCAATGAGAAATCCACACTCATGTAGATTTTCTCCTGCTTTCTTCTAGAAGCTTTATAGTTTTTCATTGTATATTCATATCTATGGTGCCTGACAAAACTACATCTATAATTTTTGTAAGAAGTTAAAGGTCAGTGTCTAGGTTCATTTTTTTCCTACATGGATATGCAATTGTTTCCTTGCCTTGTGTTGAAAGACTACCTTTTTTCTATTGAATTGTCCTTATACCCTTGTCAAAAATCAGTTGACTGTGTTTATGTGGCTTATTTATGAGCTCTCTATTCTCTTCCATTGATATCTGCATCTATTATTTTGCCAATAACATACTGTCTTGATTCATCTACCCATTTTTTTCATTCATGCATTTATGCATCCATTCATTTATCATTTCCTTAATAAATATTTATTGATTATCTTACTTGTACAAGATAGTATGCTAGAGATCACAGAAAAACAAAGAAATTTCAGATTCCCTCTAAGAGCTGTGATAGAGTCAGGGAGGTGGACCAAAGAGTGTGACAATATTTACACACCAATAGTAGAAAAAAACTGCATCACAAGGTGAGAAATGCTATGAGAGATGCAGAAGTACACGAAATACAATTCAAAAAGCTTTGCAAAAAGGATGCTATCCATACTTACTCAGAATAAGGAAATTTGAACAGGGATGTGAAGGGTTGGTAAGATTTAAATAAAGACTGGGAATTGACTAGGTCAAGGTGAAAACAGCAAGCAAAATTGGGTGGGAGGGTATTGTGGTCCAGCAGCTCTTCCAACAGGAATACAATCAAGCCACATGTACAATCTCAGACTTTTCAGGAGCTGTATTACAAAAGAAATACTTGAAATTAATTTTACAATTGATTTGGATGACCCAATGTATCCCAAACAATATCACTTCAATACTTAAAATATTGAGATATTTTATACCTTTTTGATACTAAGTCATTTAAATCCTGCATGAACATTGCATTTAAAGCACTTACCAATTTGAAGCAGCCTCATTTCAAGAGCCCAAAAGACACTCATGGACCGTGGCTACCATATTGGGTAGCAGAGGTCTTGGAGCCAGAGGAAAAGTTGCAAAGATAAGTTGGAGCCAAATCATGCAGAACTTTGAATACTGGGCTAAAGGATATCAACTTGACTCTGAACGAATGGATAAACACTGACACTTTTGAGAAAGTGACTCATTTAACATAGTGTCCCTTCCCTTGACTGGCAGTCCAGGACATATGTATAGAATGACTGCTGAACTCTCAGAGCATGGTTGCACAGACATAGTTAACAGAGAATGTACTCAAGGAGGTGAAATGGAAAAAATTTGGAGGATTAATGCCTGCATCCTTTTTTTTTTATTTAAACCACATTATATGAGAGCCCTCTGTTGGATTGTCTTTTATTTTGTACATGCAGGTAATTATTTTTGAAAATATTAGCTATTTGGCATAACGCAGTCTTTTCTAGTATTAAGTTCTTCATTGTATTGAAGTTTGAATGGGACAAGCTTATGCTAGGACATTCTTGGTTGCTTTTGGAGATGGATCTACTTAAACACTACAATGTCTACTTCAAGGGAAAATATGCTTTTCTTAAAGGATATAGTTAGAGGGTGACAAGTCAAAGATATGCCTTTAAAATAAATTATTTTTTCTTTCATTTGAGAATGTGCTCTTGACAGTGAAAATCAAGGAGTCCTCCAAAATGAGGGTGGTAATGGCATTATAATCCCTGTCCTTAGCCAGCTGTGGAAAAACCAACCAGGTTACTTGGATTTGTTTTGATTGGGGGTGCCACTCTTCTTGCCAAACCTATTCTCACAAGCTAGCAGGGGATCTGAGCTGAAAAGCTTTCTGTTTTTTATTTATTTATTTTTCATTTGAGATCATTTCCAAAGACTGATGGTGAAGTATCTATCAAGAGGCCATTCTAAAATAGAAATGGAATATTGGCAGGCAAGGGGGAGGGGGTGCGTGGGTGTTGCACTTGAGGGCTGTCAAACTTGACAGCGTCCTTTTAGGCTTAGAAAACCTCACAGTATTAGAGCCACATTTTCCATCAGCTATGACAGATTTCTGCATGTTAATACTCAAATTCGGTTGTATTTTCTCTGCAATTAAGCTAACTTGGTTTTCAGGGGCTTGGCATTTTCATATGTTTTTAGCGAAATGGAAATACTAGCATTGATTTGGATTTTTATTGGAATTCGTTTCTAATGTATCATGTAGATGGCTAGGCATACCTGGTGTCATTTATTAACATCAGCCTCCTGGAGATTTGGGGGATTTTTACTGCTGAGTGATTTGGGTCTTGAGTTGGGTCTGTCTGCTAGGTCATGGTTGGAAAATATCAGTTATTACAGAGCCTGCAAGCTTTTGAGGAATTGGTTCCATTTAACCAAGACAGAAATTCTATTGGCATTGCCACACTATTAAGCCACAGTCTCAAAGGCAAAAGTTCTACCTTGATACCTGAGAAAATGGAAGGTATTGGTTTCAAGTTTCTTGGGCGGGTATAAAGTCTGACGTGGTTTTATGAAGGATTCCTTCTCTGATGATGTGCTATGAGAAAACTACGATACAGATTTAGTACCTAATATTCAGTCATTAGATATGTTGTAAATGACTCTAGTCAAGAAGTGGTTTCAGAAGTAACATGTATCATGGTTCTGGAACCAGAAATTAGGTTTGAATTCTAGATCCACCAATAATTGCAGCATGACTATCATATTTCTGACCCTCAATTTTTGGTCTGTAAAATAGGTCACCAATAGCAACCTCATAAGATTATTGTGAGGCTTAGTAGGGTAGTTATGTACAGTTCCTGGTCCTAGCATGAATGGTAGCTACCAGCATAAAATAATGCTAAATGCTGTGTGTAGTCTGTAGTTCAAGGCCTCATTTGCTCCATTCTCTCAGTGGTCTCTCTGGAATGAAGTAGAGTCAAGCAGTTGTGAAGAACTTGGAGCATCATTGATGGATGGCCCAAGCGTCAACTTTTCTGTATCTGCCACCACATCCACATCCCTCCCTCAGATGGGTCCCAGTCAACAACTAAGCGTGACAGGATACTAAGGCAGGCGCCTTTCAGCAGAACACACATCTCCTTCCATGGGCAACTTGGGCTGGAGGATTCCATAATGGCCTCTCTGAGCCTTTCTCAAAACTCGGCTCAGTTGGAACCTTCTCCTTCCCAGTCCTCTTTCCTTCTCTCTCTCCTTCCACAGGTACCAAACTTGTGCCACTGTCTGTAAGTCCTCAGTACTCTCTTGCGCACCCGATCCCACCTCCTGCCTCCTCAGTGGATCTCAATGGATCCAGCTGTTCAATAAGCCTTTTCACTGCTGTGACTAAAAGGCCTGACGAGAACAACTTTAGAGGAAGAAAAGTTTACTTGGGGGCTGACAGTTTCAGAGGTCTCAGTCTCTAGACAGTCGGCTCCATTCCTTGGGGCTTGAGGTGAGGCAGAACATCATGGTAGAAAGAAGAGTGTGGCAGAGGGAAGCAGCTCACATGATGATCAGAAGCAGAGAGAGAGAAAGAGAGAGAGAGAGAGAGAGAGACTCTACTAGCTACATACAAAACATATACCCCAAAGGCGGCACACCCCCAGGGACCCTCGTCCTCCAGCCATATGTTACCTGCCTTTAGTTTCCACTCAGTTAATCCCATCCTGGACTAATCCACCTATTGGATTCAGGCTCTCCTAACCCAATCATTTCTCTCAACCCAATGCATCGTCTCACACAGGAGCTTTTGGGAGACACCTCACATCCAAACTACAATTCCAGCAGCCCATACCTGGTCTTCAGAGATCTGTCATTCAGAGTTCAATTGAATAAGAGTATAATAGTGTTTCCTCAGACTGCTCCAGTATGAAACCATTTTAGATCCTGGAAAGAAGGAGGTGAGAATTGGAGACAAGGCACCTAACGAAAGAAAGAGAAAAAACCAGTAAGGTGGAAGAGCATTTCCCTGACTGACACTTCAGTCCTTTTCCCACCTCCCTGGGGTGGGGTGACTGCCAGGGGCAGATGGCCTGGTGCACATGCTGCCCTTCCCTCTGGCCTCTGCCTTCCTGCACCATGGGCTCTTTGTGTCCCTAAAGTGGCCCTGGGCATAGACTACTACTTAGTAATTCCCATGGAAAAAAAAAAAAAGTCCTTAGTTTGACTTGAGTTCCCTGAAGGACAGGCATGCATTTTTGCTATTTCCATGTCCCTCCTAGCTCCTGTCACTGGAGGCTCTTGGTTTTTATTTGCTGTTTGTTAAAAGAGAAAACCAAGTGGCCCATTAAAGCTGAGAATACAAGAACTCTGGGCAACTCTCCCAGTTCACCCCCTCTTTGGGGGAGGGTCCCTCTGGGGATCCCATGGACAACCTTCAGAAACAGGACGTTATTCGAAGTGTTGCCACTTAAAATATTTATTTTTTGCCTTAGTTCATTAAAGTGTTCAATTATTGATTCTGTTCTTACGATGATGAATCTGTTTGGCTTTATGCTTAAATATTTCCCTGTAGCTGTGGATGGTGTGGCTTTTCCATTCTCAAATTCTAAGGGGTAAATATATGCAGTAGAAATAATTAACAGGATGAAGAGTGACACTTTTGCGAACAAGGATGTGTTGGCAAGAACAAATTTTGTTCAGGGGGGCGGGCAACATTGGGCATGCAAAAAGGAAGATTACATTTGGCCACGGAGGAGGCTGGGGGTTGTAGCATTGGCGCTGCCCCTGTGGAGGGGAAATAGTTTGCATAGAGAGCTCCAGAGATCAAAGATGCTTCCAGGGGTGGCCTTTACATTCGCCACATGTCTGTCATGGAATTAGACATGCCGTCTGCCCCATACTTTTATTCCCTGGCTTCCCTGCTGGCTCTCTGAGTTCAAACCAAAAGTACATGGGGTGGGGGAATGGGATTGGGGAGGGCTGATGGAAAAGTCAGCAGAGGATGACTTTGGAACAATTCTGTTCATGAAAAGGTGCTTTCCCTAAATTCTCTGGCAGAAATAAAAATGAGAGAGAAAGAGATGGGGGGGGTGCAGGGGGACCACTGGTATTTCACAAATCCCTCCAGGGGCAATTTTACATCACTTTAGTAAAAACTGGATGTGTCTTCCTAAGTCTTCCACAGCCACTGACTCAGCAAGAGTCTGAGATGGGGTGGCAGCGACCCCCACTTTCCCTTGCCTCGTCCTCTTGCACTCACCCCCTACCTCTTTTCTTCCCCCTTTCTATTTTATGTGGATCTGTCTGTGTCTAATTTAGATGGCAAGTTCCTTGCTCCTGTGTGTTGTAGTGTCTGCCATACTGGGAACACTTAGGAATGTTCCATGATAATCATGACAATAAGAGAGTCCTAAAGGTGCCAGCTGCTTTGTTTCACTGGAGAGAAGAGGGTTTCCACTACAGACTGTAGTCCTAAAAATAAGGGCAATGGGGAGGGAAGGCAGATCCGCTTTCCTAAGCAAGGGGAGAGGAAAAGAGAGGCTGATAGGAACTTGACATATAAAAGGAAATGGATTTAAAAAAAAAAAAAAAAGGTCAGTTAAAACCTTGGGATAAAAACCAGAATTCAAGGCCTGGCCTGGAGTCTCATAACCCTTTCAAGTATTGGTTGTCCAAAGTTTCAAACAAACCCGGAGCACCGATTACCTTAAAAAGGATGGAGCAGCCCTGTTCACCATGCATCAAGGCAGCTGCAGGAGGTGAAAGAGCCCAGACTTGGGCATCAGAACCCCTGGATTCCAGGCCTGATCTTCAGCTACCTGGCTATAAAACATTTGTCAAATCACTTAACTTTTCTATGACCTAGTTTCCTATTTATACAGTCATACCTCAAAGATAGTGTGAGTTTTCCTGATCACCCCAATAAAGAGACTGCAGCAATAAAGGGAACACAGCGATAAAGCGTGTCGTGTGAATTTTTTTTTTTTTTTTGGTTTCCTAGTGCATATAAAAATTATGTGTGCACTGTAGACTATTCAGTGTACAATAGCGTTATGTCTAAAGATATGGATATGTCTTAATTTTAAAATACCTTATTACTACAAATGCTGACAGGTTTCTGAGCCTTTCACAAATTCTATCTTTTTGCTGGTGGAGGCAGTTGCCCTGAAGTTGGTGGCTGCTGACGGATCAGCTTGGTTGCTCAAGGTCGGGGCAGCTGTGACAATTTCTTTTACTCTTTATTTTTATTTCATTGGCAACTTCTTAAAATAAGACCATGAAGTCTGCTGCATCAATTGGCTCTTGCTTTTATGGAAGCTGTCTCTGGAGCACAAGGTGCAGTTGGATAGTATTTTATCCACTGCAGAAGCCTGTTTCAAAATTAATTCAAAGTTAATCCTTGCAAACCCTGCCATTGCATTGGCACCCAAGTTTATGTCGTATTCAAAGTCCTTTGATGGCATTTCAACAATGTTCCCAGCACCTCCACCAAAGGCAGATTCCATCTCAAGAAGCCATTTATGTTGCTCATCCAATAAAGTGACTCCTCATCTGTTCAAGGTTTATCATGAGATGACAGCAATTCAGCCATCATCAGGCTCTGCTTCTAATTCTAGTTCCTGTGCTATTTCTATCACATCTGCAGTTAATTCCTCCACTGAGGTCTCTAACCCGCCAAAATCATCCAGGAGGGTTGGAATCAACGTCTTCCAAGTTCGTGTTAATGTTGATCTTTGACGTCCTCCCGTGAATCACAAATGTTCTCAAATGCCATCTACAATGGTAAGTCCTTTCCAGAAGGTTTTCAGTTCAGAGACATGAAGTGAACACGCATTGAAAAAATAAAACCAATGGATTTACCTGATGGTACCAACTTTCAATTTGTAAAGAATGGAATATTTGAAGTAAGATAAAATGAAGCATGCCTATAAAATGAAGGGTGGGGCCAATGCAGGGAGATGTTTGCCTAATAATTTTGTGAATCCTTCAAGTTCTGAAATTCAGTTCAATCAAGAACTCGTACCTGCGTACTCTAATACCTAACATTCTATTGAGCACTTACTATATGCTAACCACTATCAAATTTACACATATCACTTTACTCAGCACTCACGGATCTATAAAGCAAAAATTGCTGCTATCTATAGTTTACAGAGGAAGACACTGGGGTAGGGAAAGAATAATGACTGGCCTAACATGCCACAACTGGTGTTGGAAGGAGGTGTCTACACCATTCCTCTCTGAGTCTGACCCGCTGAGATACATTTTGCACTGTCTTCCATTGAACAACCAGAAAGTGGACTCACCATTTGAGCCTGGAATGTTCAACAGTATTCTGAAGCATTCAACGATACATTGGAAGATCCTTGGAAATAATTTAAAGTAGCAATGACGTCTAGAATATTCACTTCAGCCAAACCCTATTAAATTTCCTCTCTCCTACAGATTGAAATCACTATAAAATGAATTTGTTAACCAAGCATTAAGCAGTTCACTATATCAACTCATTTAATTCTCACAATGACTCTATAGGACTATCCCAAATTTTATGAATGAGTTGGCCAGAGCACTGAGGTTAAGTGTGTCCACAATGGCCAACTGTGGAGATGGCTTCCTTTCCAGCCATGTGCTCACCCACTTTGCTCTTCCTTGCCTACAATCTCTGAAGAGCAACTCATTAGCTTCCCTCTGACTGGCTGGGCTAGGAAGAGGTGCAATGCAGTGGAGAGAGAGTCCAGTGCCCTTGGCTTTTCACTTTTTTCCCTGCTCCATGTAAATCTTTAGGACCAAAGATGGACTCTCTTTGCTTCCCTTTGAGTTGATGCAGGCAGGTAGGGGAACCAAACAAGCTCCTCTTCTTGCTGGTAGCTCTTGTTTCTCATTAGGACTTTGCTTGGAATCAGAAAAATCACAACCAAGTGATGTCCTTTCACGATGAGGTTAGAGGGGAGGTACTGCCTGCTCCAAGCCAAGCAACTGAGAACTCGGGTACAGGGGCAGCAGTGACAGCCAGCTCACAGGCTTTGCATTGTGGCCTCTTGCTAATCAAGTGAGAGGAGAAGAGCCTCCATCTCTTCCTCAGAAGGTGCTGAAGGATGAACTAGACCTTGTGTCCTAGAGAAAGGAACCCATGAAGAGAGCTGGTCATGGCTATCACAAATTTAGATTTTGCAGCAACAATCCAGCCAAACTCAGGTCACTTCCCTTGTCATCTGCAAGAGAAGAATGATAGGTGCAAACTCACAGAAAAAGAAGTTTCCACAAGTAGCAACCATCAACCGCTGTGAGATGCTTCTTAGTTCTTGTATTCATTTATTCTTTCTCCTTTCCTTTCTCCCATCTTTCTTTTTCTTTCTTTTTTTCCTCCTATTTTTGCCATTTGAAAGCCATCATTAAAGTGTGTCCATTTTTATAGTATTTCTATATATGCTGATATCAAATAAACTCTGTTATGACTTGGATCTAGAATGTTCCCTAAAGGCTCATGTACTTAAAGGCTTGATCCCCAATGCAGCAATGCCCAGAGGTGGGGCTTTTGGTAACTAACTAGATCATGTGGACTTTGATTTTAGTGGATTAATCCATTTGATAGATTAATAATTTTTTCCCAGTTTAGGAGGTAAACTTATGGAATCATCTGGAAAAAGTTTGACATAAAGAAATATAAATGAACACAGGCATGATTTATGAACAAGCAAATTGTCTCAGTGATAGGCACTCTAGAGAAAATATTACACATGACCAGGATATGTCCAGAGTGTTCAAAGGAACCTTGTTTCCAAGTACATGGTCAGAGGACTGGATTTAAAAATGTTATATTTATGCAATGTCATTCCTTAGACATGTCAATGAACTATAGCTTCCCACGTCAACAAGGATTATTAACATTAGCTTACAAAGAAAGGTACTAGGAATGAATCTAGAGTGATTGCACATAAACATTGTGAAAGTTACAAAACATTATATATTCATAGAATATA